CAACAACAACAACAACAACAACAACAACAACAACAACAACACATCCAAGGGTGTTTGTGGAGTCACAATTAGTAGCATTTGAAGCAGCCTTTGAAGTTGAATCAGATGTGGAAACTTTGTTTGAGGATGATACTTCAAGTGATGAGGAGGAGGTTGTTGAATACAGCCAGAGCCTGCCAGGTTATGGTTCAGATGCTTCTTGAATGAGTCACAAAGGAGGCAGACAAAGCTGAGACATTCAATGTAATTTCACAGAGCCAGACAGAAGCTTGGAACTGGGATAATGCTGTTGAGCCTGAAAATGGAACTATTGTTTCTATCAGTCTTAACTTTCCTGATGTGCCTCTAGGCTGCAAAAGGAAAGATCCCAAGGTAACAAAGGAAAACCACAAGAGTGGAAAGAGGATGTTGACAATCCTGGTGGTGGGTGGCATCCCTATTTCTGCAGACCTAAGTTCAAAGCAGGGACAGGGAAGTACAAAGAATATTTTCTTTCCCATCATTATTGCAAGCCTGTGGAAGTTCCAAAATGCTTAGTTGGTCTTGGCAAGGAACCTGTTTGTTGGAAACAAAGTATGGAGAAAAGATGGAAGTATCTTGGATGGGATGGTTCAGTTGAAGATCCTAGAGGCACTATATGGCCAGAACCATAGCTTTTGTTGGAAAGTATGCTTCTAGCTGCTCCRAGGGGCGGCACTTCCCTCCAAGGAGRTTTGATGGAAGTGYGACCAAAAKATCCTAACAATCAGTTTGCAAGGAAGTRWTATGCTACTACTAGTAGTAGGGATACCAACAAGGGGGAGACATCAAGTTAGGCTAGTTACATCATTGCCTGAAGCAGTACAGTTTGATGGCATCTTCTTTATGCATGGGGCTTATGAAGGAGCAAGTGAAAGCATCAAATTCAGATGCAATGTAAAAGATATTTCATTCAACAAAGACTTTGTAAATTTTATGACATCAAGAGGAATTTGAAGCTTTGCAAAAATGATTTGGAAAGGCTGTCTCCTGGAGTCAGTGGTGGCAATATCACCTGCAAGTTTGACTTCATCTTCCACACCATTGTTAACAATGTCAACTTTTTCACAGAGAAGGCAGGTTTGGATTTGTGCATATATGAAATAAGTTGGCCCTGCCAATGGCTTGGAGGACCCATTGTTAACTATTTCAAAGGGATGACGATTACAAAATGAGGCCAAACTGTTCTCGTGTCTGATGTGGATTAGATCAGGCCTAGGGCTTGGAAACATACTAGATATCTTGGATGGACCAGTGATGATCCAAGGCATTCTTGCATGGGACTTGCTGAAGTTCACCATATTGTTGAGACCTTTGTTGTYGCTAACAGTATTGGATCTGGGAAGCTGTGGGAATCACCTCCTGGTGGTGATGATGCCTACAAAGTCAAGGAGCAAAAACATTTGTTACATGTGGTGTGGTGTAAACACGTATAGCATGTGCAGTCTTCTTTGCCAAGTCCCTCTTTCCAGCAGCAGCAAGAACACTTATTCAAAGAAGAAGGATTGTAATGGCAATTTGATTTGCAGGTTCTGTCACAACAACTACCACAAATAGTAGTATGAATGGTTTGGGCTTACTACTACAAGAGATGACTACTGCTCTAGAGTACTAAGGAATACAAAAGAACAAAGATAAGAGATACTGAAAGGCRAGGCTCCTAGTACTAGTAGTAGAGATGATGACTAACTTTGTTGTTTCACCAAGCAGTACTACTGATGTGACTGTAAATAGTGAACTCACCACTCTAGCAAATGTATAGTACTAGTAGTGCCGAGTTCAGCACAATCTGTGGTGCGGGAGTGATTGGACCAATGGAAGCAGTGCAGGAAAGAATTAGTACTTTAAATATGGATAGCACTATACTTTAAGGGCCAGGTTAGCTCCTACTGGTACAGTTGATTTGGTTCCTCCTTCAGCTGCTGATTTAGAGGCTGATTCAGTTGCTGATTCATGGTTGCTTACTATTTGGTGGATTGTTCTCCTTTGTTGCAGGTTCCGGCGGAACTGTATCTCTCCAACAAGGTGCATGCTCTACAAAGACTACACACTGTACTTGCTTGTTCTTGTAGTTGTCTCTCCCATTAGAGCTGTCAGATCTGTATAAGTCCTTGTAGTCATCTCCATAGTGGTCTTCGTCCCAGCACAAGAAGGAGGACAGGTTCATTATGTTTGGATTCCCTCAGTAGTACGTATTGTAAGCAAACTAGTATTTCTTGGTAGTACACTGAATGCAAGAAGGAGTGCAGTTATTCTCCCTCTTTATAACTACATTCCTTAAAATCTCAAGGATCCACTCATGTWTTTCCCTGACCTTCATCTTTGGAGGAACAAGCAAGAAAGGCATTCTGCCTTGCAAGAAACCTACTATTGCTAACAAGCTATCTTGAACTGCTGACTGTTCTTCTTCTTTCTTGAGCTGTATCTTGGTTGCCAGCTGGCAGAGATAAGCACAGCAATATGTTCAAGACAGATATAGTTTTTCTTCAAAAAAATGTTATTAGTATTTTTGGTAAAAGTTATGACGAATACTTAGAAGTTGGATAGTTTTACTAGTACTGATATCATAACAAGTGATTGCCACACTAAGAAATTGGTTCCCATCATTATTTTAATGATGCCACCCTTAATTTTTTCAGTACAAATTCTACAGAGCTCTACTGAGTGTTGCTCCCCAAAATTTTCAGCATGTTTTGCCTTCTGAGAAAGAAGCTGGATTGTTGGTTCCTCTCCGCCACCAGAATAGTTGCAAACTACCTCAGTACATTTTGTACTGTGTTCTACTGGGCTAAGGATGGCATCATTAAAATAACAATGGGAACCAATTTCTTAGTGTGGCGATCACTTGTTATGATATCCGTAGTACTAGTATTAAATACTACTAGCTACTAGTAGTAGTAGTAGTATGTAGGAGTAAGAAATAAGATTTGAAAAAAATGAGGATGATTTTTCAATTTTCRGAGTGATTTTTCACACTATGTTGCAAAAATGAGCGCGTTTTCCAACCGATCCGCACCCACCTGTGTGCGCACCCCTCGAGCTCTGTCACAGGTGTTCGGAGGGGGATTTTGTTTCATATTAGACGTTTTCTTGGAGTTAGGGATAATACTATAATTTGGTGGAAATCGAGCAATATGATTGGCTAATAAGATAGATCAAAATACAGTTTTAGAATTCGCAGGGTCCTTCTGGTTGTGAAACGTTGTTGCGTGTGCCAAAAACAGTTTCGATATTTTGATCTGTCTAATTAGCCAATCAGATTGCTTGAGTCCTACCAAATAAAGTGTTATCCCTAACTCTAAGAAAACGTCTAATATGAAACAAAATCCCCTTTTCGTACGATACGAACACCTGTGCTGTAATGTACGAAGTACGAAGTACTAGTAATACCCCTTCCGTATCCACGGTACGTACGAACTTCAGACATGATGATCCGGGATCACTTCTTTCTCGAGCGATGATASGATTGAGGGAATTTTCGTACGTCGGACAGACAAATTTCGTCCTATCGACCAATCGCGACAACAAAAATATCTAGAACTTGCTTCGACATCAATCTCGTCCGTTTCTCATCATTTCGATTTCCTTTTGGCAAAACGGAAATACTTCGTAGAATCATCCCATCAGSGACGCCTATGACAGTTTTAGTAGTACCGTACAAGCAATATACCTGAGAGAAGCAATCTCTTATTTTCATCTGAGAAACGCTCCATTGGCACCTACATTGGGTAATAAAGACAATCCTTTACTATCTACTGTTATCGAGATACTATGGCAATAAGCAAAAGCACTGACGAGAGCACCAGGACGGGCGTTTACCATGTGAAAGAAAGCGGTCTTGAATACCAGCATTTGAGGGATACGACCGTGCCAAAAGATGGTAAAGAATACGTTAAGAGATTCCAGTAAGTAAAGTTACGTTGGTAGTGGGTTGAGTTGATTTTCCCTTGAGACCAGATCAATCGTCCAAAACGGACCCATCCACAACTTTTCATCTCATTAKCTTTTTCAATGCTCGATCCGCATCCCAGAAAAGGGTTTCAGATGAATGTGATTGAAAATAAGGACAATGATTTAGTGTTTGAACTGATAGGGTGCGATGCCTCTTTTGCGAATGCGCTGCGGCGGATTCTGTTGTCAGAAGTCCCGACAGTAGCAATTGAAAATGTGTATATGTGGAACAATACCAGTATCATCCACGACGAGGTACTGTCACATCGTTTAGGTCTCATTCCGATCAATGTAGATGCTCGTTTGTTCGATCCAATCGAAGATGGCGACGATACCACCGATCAAAACACTTTAGTGTTCCAGCTGCAGGTCAAGTGCCCGTCTCGACGACAAGCGGCCGCGAAAGCCAAGAAAGCCACTGGAGACGACAGCGCCCTGACAGAAACAGAGAAGAGTGTGTTGGAAAACACCGAACTGGATCACGCGGCCTTTATGGCGGCGAAAAAGGAAGCTATCCAAACACCCGGACGCCCCTATACTCTTCATTTGTATTCGAGGGATTTGGTTTGGGTWCCTCAGGGAGACCAAGAGAGACGATTCCCGAATGGGATCCGACCCGTCCACGACGACATTTTGATTGCGAAGCTGCGACCGGGGCAAGAGATTGAATTGGAGGCCCACGCAATGTACGGCATCGGACAAGATCACGCGAAGTATTCCCCTGTGGCGACAGCCTCCTATCGATTGTACATAAATGTTGAAATAGTGGAACCAATATACGATGAAGACGCCGAGGAGTTGGCACATTTATACGAGCCGGGTGTGTTCGAAATTATACCAGCTGGTGTACCAGGCAAGAGGATCACGGTCAAGGTCGCCAATCCCTATGCCTGTACCATGTCTCGAAATTACATGCGAAACCCGAAACTCGCGAAAGCAATCAAGATGACGAGGATCCCCAACCATTTTATTTTTTCCGTGGAAAGCGTAGGAATGCACAAACCAGCTGTTTTGGTTGCAGAAGCACTGAAAGTCTTACAGAAGAAATGCAAAGACTTGATAGARGTGACCAAGCAACAACAAGAAGCATTTTAGAAACGGATCGCTTCTTGTGAAGGGCGAAGGCTGAAAAAGAATTTCATGTCGTTGTTTAATTTGCATGCGTTMATTACAAAATACTTTTAGGTGGGATTTATTGTGGGATCGAAACTAAAGAAGTTACACGATACAAGTTTCATAGAATTGAGAACCTAAATAACTCGAAGTAATACAGCTGTGACCTAAATTGAAGATTTTGAATTTGAAAGCACATTGGCTCAAGCCGGCAAAAAAATTGAGGTAATTTCCTACTCCTGAAAATAACTGTTTGGAATAACCAATTCGAAAGACTGAATATACTTGTCTACCGATTTWATTGGAGGAGTTGAGAAAGCCTGAATGACTTTATTGTAAAAATGAACTTTAAWTTATTTTGAAACGTAGTTTTTTAAAAAAGAGATCGCACTGGAACCTCCTACTATTCTAATTGTCGTATATGAATTACCCCTTCATTCTTCAGACGCCACCCCAATYACATCATGTGTTGRAWTTTTTTTCTAGTTCCTTTCCTTAGGTATGAATTGCTGCTGAGGCCAAAACTTCAGTGGATGGTGCATCTGTCATGACTGTACTCTCCTCTAATTTTGCTGAAGCTGCCGCTATGCTGGTAGTTGTCACGGCGGTAGCCAAAGAGACTATTTTCTGAGCCTTGGCAGCAATTGCCGCCGCCCTCTCCGCGGCTTCTTTGGCTTCCTTCGCCGATGGAGTCAGTGGGGTATTTGGTGGCAGAGTGCTGGGRTCAAAGTCTGGCTTGAATCTAATGCCTCCTGCCCGAGATTGACAATCCATTAGTCCTAGCTGCTTTGCCGAAGTTACCCAATAATGGGTCTTTCCCCTGGATTTATCAGTATCGCGTAGTTTTTGCCACTCAGYTCTGGCTCCAGGAGGAATCTTCTTGCACTTCCTCAAATGACAACGTTGCCATGATGTCACAAGTCGATAAATCTCGGCTATAGATTTCGGATAAAAGACAGACATGGGTGCATCTGCACAAGACATTCGATTCATTGCGCAATGCACACATCTGAGTCCGACRCGACCCACTGAGGAGCTCGGAGAATGACATGGAGACTTCTTGTTTGATTTGCTGACGACAAAAATCTCAAGCAATTCTGATCGCAAAAAACAATGGAGGTTGTTCAGTTTCGCATTATCATACGGAAGAGCCAGTCTTGTAGGATAGCGGTCAGGAACAGGGCATGGGAAATCCGTATCGGGTTCTTGCTTCGTGGTCACTTTTGTTGTGAGATTACTTTTCGTCGGCGTATCCATAGGTCTACTTGCGCTGACACCGCTCATYTCTGTATCAATGGAATCCGAAGATGGACCGCTGGTGAGATCTGGAACATCAGTTTGCATCGTGAGCATGGTTCCGGCGTCTGAGACATCGTCCATGGAAGATGAGTGTTGAACAGAACTTGGGATTGGGGGTGAAGGATGACTGCAAGGATTTTGGTTTTCAGTACCACCGGTGGATCGGTTCATGGAGCCGAGTTGCAGTAATATTGACGCAGCATCCGCAGTAACGTCTTCTTGTTTTGCTGGCTTTGACACGGGCTGATTCGTCTGCTTCTTTCCCAATGTAGAACCACGGGAAGTTACAGCAACATTTCCCCGATCTCCAAGGGCCGTGGGTTTGTTGCCAACCATCGAAGAGTGACTTCCACTACTATTTCTACGACTAGGGTTTTCGTTTGTACTACTATTGATGCTCATGTCTCCAGTAGTTGGAGATGATGTTGACATTTCATCTGTTGTTTTCTTCGCACCCTCTTGTTGGCGTAGCCTTGCTCGTAGTAATGCTTGTGCAGAGGGTGCAGGTGGAGGAGATGGTGGTGGCGATGGAGAACGGTTGGTGGACTTTCTGGATTCGTTCTTGTTGTCAGATGTTGCTGGATCACTCGTTGTCAGGTTTGAATTGTATTTCGGTAGCTGAAAGCCATGCCCTGGTATACGTTGCGGAGCAGGTGGAGGAGGGAGAGGTTTTCCGTATGAATGTGGCTGTTGGTGTTGCTGATGATAATGTTGATTGGAAGGATGCGGATACATTTCACGGTGTCCCCCAGGTCCATGGGGATAACCAGTAGGCATCCCATTATCTGGATAACCACGGTAGTGATTGTGTGCAAGAGGAGGTCCTGATGTTGATGGGCCATGTGAGGTATGATGATAATTGTAATTTTGCATATCTGATTGCATGCTGTTCGGGTGACCTCCGTTGTGCATCGGCGGTTGACCACCGTAATGAATATGATCAGTMTGTGGAAACTGGTTCTGATACGGYTGGTTTTGATATCCTTGGTGCATATCAGGAGGGCCACCACGATGGCGGTACTGGTCCTGTGACGATATATCAGCCATTTCTTGTTGCGAGGGTGGCCTTAGTGGAGCAGAATGTCCGACACTAGTTTGCTGCTGTTGTTGGTTCTGCTGTGACGTCACTGGTTTCGATTGGTACGACCCAGTGGGTACCCGGTTACTACTTGGATTGCCAGTATCTTCGTGGGGCACGACAGGGCCAGAACTGGAATCAGTAGAGTTGTTGRCGCTTGAATTCTGTGAAAGACGTCGTAAAGGCTGAGACTGCGCGATCGCTACTGCTACGCCMGGGGGAATTGGTGACACAGATTTCCGACCCTGCGATAAATATTGCGGATGCGGGTGGGTAGGTGAAGGCCCACGGCTGCCTACCTGCTGCCCCATTCCTTGCGTTATTGTACCCCCCTTTGTGTGAGGTACTTGTGGAAATGAATGGAACTGAGGTTGATGCTGTTGGTGTTGATGATAGTTTCTCGCTGGACCAGGACGACCGAAATGTCCATGTCCATGTCCATGCGGATGCGGATGGTGTCCAAATCCTTCTGGGRCCGTATGCTGGATAGGATATCTCCCGGTGGGGCGATTTAAGTTGTGATGGTGGAAATTATTGTTTTGCATGGCATGATCTGGATCGTGCGGGCGTCCTTGGCCTCGGACCGCACCCATCATCTGATCTCCGTTATAAAAATGATTGGGTTGACCATGGGAAGGATGGTGGTGGCTAGGTGCATGACGATATTGAGGTGCCATGTGATAGTTATTATTGCCACCCATCCCAGAGGATGGCTGCGGATGGTGGTGGGGCGGATGMGGAATTCCATTAGATGAACCAGCGTGGAAAGATGTTGCCGAAGTAGTTGAAGTGGAAGAAAWTGGACGTTGCTGATCGCGCATTTGTTGCTGAGTGGGAATCATCRGAGTAGCCCGTTGTGATTTTTCCTGCCCTTGGCCCTTTTCTTCCTTTGTGGGTCCCGCTTTCRGATTTYGTGTTGCTTCGGACGATGCGGTACTATCTATGTTGTTTCTCGCATCAAATGTTGTGCTGCTGTTGCCATTCCTTAGAGCAACGGCAGCTGAACCTGGAGGTGRATTCTTTCCTGGCGGACCAGACGTAAACCCGTGGTTGTTAGGATTCCAAGGGGTAGACATCGTAATGCTCGTTCGATTCAAATTCAGATTGAATCAAAATGCAATAGCTGTCGTTTGRTAGTTGTACCTGTTACAGCTCCATTCACCGTTCAGGATACTTCCAAGGTTATGTCTTTCTGCTTTTTGCAGGGATGGTTTACGCCTATTTCAGAAGGAACTCTAGTTGTTCGTTGTTTGTGTAACAAGACGTAGTGCCCGGAGTGAATGCTGCTGCACATCTGGTAGGTTTGTGACATAACCAATTGAATGATCGCCAGCGGTATCACTATTGGGTTTTTGGACGAGGAATCGTTAACGTTACTGACCAGGGTTGACAGGCTCCAAGGTACTTAATCGAATCACAAACTCGTTGAGCGCCAGTCCGGCTAACTTGTTAAATACAGATTTAATTTAAAATCGGATCGTGAAACTCTGTATGTGTGATATGCGTATCTATTGTTACATTCCTATGTAGACAATTTCAAAGCAAATTGATTAGCTTTAAAAAAAGAGCGGGTAGGCATTACAAATAGGGTTAAAATACTGTTTAAGACGGTTTCATAGGATTACATGAGCATGGCTGGCTTTGCGTACTGCATGATAGTAATTTTAAAGCGTGCCGACCAAGAAAAAACGGATCAAAAAAAAAGCGCGCGGTGAGAACGACGAAGAAGCATAAGGACGTTGAATCTTTAAACAATCGAGGTTCGATTGCTCGGTGTGCGTGGTAGGCAGCAGAAATTAAAAAATTTAAAATTACTTTATGGATCCACTTTTAGAAACACGTGCCTAAAAGACGAGTTCACAGTCAACAAATAGAGGTCTATTGGCCATGCGGAGTCGCCAGAGAGCAAAAAGTAATAAGTGATTCCCGATAATAGAAATGCTAAATTTGATAGACGGACGGACCAAAAATCTAGCACATTTTGTAGTAATAGATTTAGCATTTTTAGAATGGGCCAACTGACCCAATTCTAAATGTGCTATATCTATGATACGGTATTTCTAGTACATTCCAACAAAAGACTGCTGGCATTGAGCCGGCATTCTTGTGGTCTGTCCGTTGAAATTTGTATTCCTGTTATTATAGAAATACTAAATTGGTGATTTAGCATTTCTATAGGAGTAATATCGGGAATCACCCAATAATTTGAAGTTCTAAATTTCGATTTGAAGTTATGAGCTTTTGCTTGTACATCATGTACCAGGTTCTACTGAGTTATGAAGTAGTTTTTTTAAATGACTGCTGAATGGCCAAATAGATTCCCAGGGCCCCTAAAAACAAAAAAATGGTTCAGAGGTCATTCAATCATGAATTTGGTCTTTCAATCATGAATGCCGTCCAAAAACTAGGTCAGTAGAACCTCTTGGTAGACTTTCTACCAGGATATTTTGAAGTTCATAACTTCAAATTGAAGTTAAGAAGTTGAAATTATTACTTTTTGCTCTCTGGCAAGTCCGGTTTCAATTGTTACAAAAGGCGTAGTAGTAGGGTTCCTATCTCGTTACTACACATTTCATAACAATTGAATACGGTTGCCCACCCAGAGAGCAAAAAAATGTTTTAATTTCAAGTTCTAAACTTTGATTTGAAGTTATGAACTTTTGCTCGTACATCATGTACTACCAGGTTCTACTGAGCTATGTTGTAGTTTTTTTAAATGACTGCTGAATGGCCGAATAAATTCTCAGGGCCCCTCAAAACAAAAAAAATGGTTCAGGGCAATTGAAAAATGGTTCGAGGTGACTCAATCATGAATCCAGCATTTCAATCATGAATGCCATCCAAAAACTAGCTCCTCAGTAGAACCTGGTAGACTTTCTACCAGGACGTCACACAAACGGGATCCATGGTGTTGCGCATTTCGCGCGGTCTATACCCTTAAATTTTCTGGTCCTACCGTTAGTTTAT